ATCTAACTATTATTCATAAGCGTTTGGTTATGACATTTTTCTAGTATTTGAGTTATGTGATGAGACTCATAACACAACTAGTGGTGTTATGGACTAGGTTATGAATTCATAACACAATTGGTGTTATCGACTAGGTTATGAATCTATAACACAACTAGTTTTTGTGTTTTGACAAAGTGAAAATAGCTATTTACCTAAAAGTGCGGAAAATGAATTTTTCCGCAAGTGTTAGGTACAATATTTTTCCTACAGGCGAAAAAATGTAAAATTTTTCTTTTTTTTTTTGACATATCAGTGCGGTAAAATTTTTTCCGCACTGACAGCCGTGCGGAAAAACTTTTTCCGCACTGATATGTCAAAAAAAAAAGGTTTACCGCACCGTGCGGGAAAACTCATTTTCCGCACGAATATCAGTGCGGGAAATTGATTTTTCCGCACGGCTGTAGGAAATAGTTATTTTCCTAACAAGTGCGCAAAGTGTTACTTTTCCGCACGCAAACACAGTTATACGCACGACGCGAAGCGGAGTTCGGATACGTGTTTGCGTGCGGAAAAGACACTTTGCGCACGTGTTAGGAACAACATTTTTCCTACGAGCTTCATATCAGGTAGGTAACAAGAATTTTTTTTTAAAAAAAACCCATAATTTGTTCAATTATTTTTAATTAACTTGAAGCGAACCTATACATTTATCAAAAAATGACCTAACAAAAAAAAAAATACCAGAAAATCCTCGTCAGAGCTGTTCATCTTAAAGCATTTAAATTTGATGATAAAGTTTGTAGATTCTTGCATATAAATAGAGAACAAATCTGACAATGTGTCAAGGTTAATTTATATTTGGTATTTGTATTGATGTTGGCTGATATAGAAACAGAGAAAAAATTTGTCATCATGTGTCAAAGTCGACAGGTGCACTTATTGTTACTTGACAAGTATTTTTACTTTTCGGCACTCAGTGCGGATAAGGCCTGTATCCGCACTGAGTGCGGAAAAGTGTAACTTTGAGCCCGGAAATGCGTGCGGAAAAGTACTACTTTGCGCATGCTCATAGGAAAAAACATTTTCCTATTTTTCGCTTTGTAGATAAAATGTAAATCATATGACACGTGCGTTTAAACATGAGTACAAAACTCGTGTGATGAAAACGACTCGGCCTACGACCTCGTCGTTCTAATCTTTTACACTTGTTGGTTGTATTCATGTTCATAAACGCAATTGTAATGTGTAAATAACTTTTTTTGGAGGCTAAAAATTTATTTTTGAGCGTGGCACCTGAAAAAAAAAACCTCGAAAGCAACTGCGGTGGGCTTCAACCAGGGATGTGCCGTAGACTATGAAATCTACTTTACGCGGTTTGTCTACTCGTTATCTACGTATTGTATTGTTTACATCCACTTTTTTCCATGTAGACTATGTAAACTATGTAGACAATGTAGACTATAGTGTAGACAACGGAAAATTTGAATTATGAGTTTTTTTTTTTGAAATTTTGCATTGCTTTGAATTTATATTGTATTGTCAAAAAACAAAATAAAGAAAAAACAGAAACATAACCTTAAAGGCTGTTAACTGTCAAAAATTGTATTAGCCTATCCAAAACACCTGACTTTGACAAGCAAACAAAGGGTTTGTGTGCATGAACTATAGCCAAAAACTGGAATGCGCACACATTGCCATATCTGCCAAAAAAATGAAGCCATGAAAGACAGATGCCACAAAGGGGAATGTTGTTTTTTTCTGTTACTCGTTGACATATGACGTTTTGGAAAGTTTTGTCAATATGTGTGCGCATTCCAGTTTTTGGTTATAGTTCATTGGTGTGCCTGTTGGCGGACATTTTTATTTAAGTTTGACAGCATCTTGCAATGGCATGTAATATTGACAGTTGAGTTGAAGAGGCGCTCCTGTACTTGGAGCTCTTTAAATTTTGGCGCGTAAATAATCGATTGTAATTTTAACCTCAAAAGTTAAGTTTGATGTGTTTTCAAGAAAAGCTGACGCTGACATTTTTAAAAATATTCTCTAAGGGCCACTAAACGCTTTGGAAGAAATTTTAACTTATTCATTGTTCATTGTTTATAGGTAGTCATCTTTCCTTCTACTCAATTTAAGCGGTTCAAAACTATTGACATTTACCGCCAAAATTTGAAGCACTCCAAGTTGACTCGCGACCTCTACAAAATTTTGGGGAACTTGACTGGATATTTGCTGCCATTGTCAGCCTATCCAAAACACGTGACTTTGACAGGAAAACAACGCGTTTGTGTGCCTCTTGGCGGACATTTTAATAGGGAACTTGCAAGTGATCTAAAATTTTCTAAATTTGTTTTAAATCGATAGTTTATACTGCAGAATATTCATATGACCAGTTTTTATTTAACTGGTCTAGCTGACCCGACGAACTTCGTACCGCCTCTGAATTATTAAATATACCTATTAAATGTTGTTAATGTATCTATTAGCTGAATTAAATTCAGTTTTTTTCGATGGTGAATTTGGCTTTGCTTGAAAAAAATTAATGTTTGGGCATTATTCTTGTAAAGTGTACCACCAAATAAATAAACTAAGGCACAGGAATGTTCAAAGAATGTAAAGAAAACAAAAAAAATCTCTAGCGCAGCCCTGTTTCACTCTATCTGCACTGCACTACTCCATCTGTTCTACTCTATCTGATCTACTCTTTCTGCACCACTCTATCTGATCGGAATAGTGGAATAATTCTGTTCGAAATAGCTCCAGTTCTTGAGCAGCATTATTCTACTGTATCTGCAATGTCGAGCTTCGTTCCAGGTATCAGAGATGGCGCGGTATACAAAATACAAAATAAACTTGGTATCGGTTATAAGAGATGGCGCCGTATGCGGGCTTAGTAAATTTTTTTCATAAATAAATAAAATAAGTAATGAAATGACCACATTATTGATATAACAACATGCTGGTACTGTCAACGCTGAAAAAAATTTCAATTTGACAGCAAAATCCCTATTAACAAAATGATCCTCCATTTATTGAATAATTCATTTATTACAAAAAATGTGATAAATGAAGAACCGCTCGACCGATTTTGTGCAAACTTCACATAAACCATCTAATAAATAATCCGAACAAAGCCTAAACATTTGGTTTGGCTAGGTGAGCCCGTTCTTGAGTTAAAAAATTACAACGAAAAGTGGCATTAATTTTTATATATATAGATTTTTTACCTGTGAGGGCCGCGTTCACCAGATACAAACGTTGGTAAACGGTTTGCGAATAGTTGTATTCCTTTCACACCTGGGATGAGCTCCAGAACAGCTCCGGGGCTTCACGCGCCTATTCCTTTCGAAAAGTGTTTGTTGCACCACGCATCTGTTCTCTGCAAATCGGGGGCGACTAAACCCCGGAGCGAGTAGCTCGAGTGTTTCATGCTCTTGAAAGGAATACAACTATTGTTCTGCTGAACGCTACGTTGAATTTGTGTTAAAACCAAACATGTTTTGAAAACGGTCGCCATTTTTGCAAGCATAATTTCAGAGTGTTTATAATTTTTGAACACTGGGTGACCTGTCATCCAGAAGGTGACTTTCTATCATTGAAAAGTTGAATCGTTCAGCAGAACCAAGAGTTTACCCAACATATTCTGTTGGTATTTGTAAACTGTTTACAATCCGATTTGGTTCTGGTGAATGTAGCCATGCTTACCACAAACTCTGGAGTGCGTTCGAAAAAGGGTTAAATTTTACCCAAGGGTGAGAGTGGGTATATGGTCACGAGGTCAGAGGAGTCAATTTTTTCTGGTGTGTTTTCGAACGGACTGGTGTATAATTATAACCTAACATATATACATACATAACATTTAGGCCCAATGTTCTGTGCATCCCATTCATCTGTTTGTGCCTATTAATCCTATTATGAACTATTATAAATCTGACTAAATATGAAAGTAGTAGATTTAAATAATGAAAAACTGACAAGAATGATAGGAGTAAAGCCAGCGGCAGAGTTGGTTAAGAAATAGTGCACACTGGGTTTGGGTAGCACTCCAGGGCTGCGTTCAGGAATGGCTACAGCCAAGCCAAAATTGGCATTTTGCGTTCGAGTTCGGCTCCAACTCACGTGGTTCGGCATTACCAGTAGAGGGGGAAAAGTATGTTTTGGCATTAGCATTGCCGTCCTTGAATGCACCCCAGATATTTTCGAATTAGCGTGAAAGTCAACCGGAGTTTATACCAATTCATTTTCGAACGGCTGGTGTGAACTCGGTGTGACGCCCAGACTGATTTCGAACGCACTCCTGGTTTGCTACTTAAGTCTTTTTCGACAGTTTATTTAAATGGGGAAAATATACTGAACTGGAAACGCTTGGGACCCTGTAGGAAGACACATGTCTGTTTCTCGGCGGATTCCACATCCCACAACGAACAGACACGTATCCGGGATTTTACAACACTACACTTGACACAAAAAAATATCTAGTTTCTTCCCGACAGGTTACGTACCTACCTAGACAGCAAATATTTTATTTGAAATCAAAATCAAACTTGCAAGCAAAATAACTAAAATACGCATAATAGTATATTGTTGTATTAGGAGTAGAAGCTTTACTTTTTTGTGCTGAAGCGGTAGGTTTGCGAGCCGAACGTAGTGAGGCTTGCAATACTGCTGAAACACAAAAAAGTGCTTCTACTCCGTATGCAACACGCTATTTTTTCTCCAAGCGAATGGAGTAAGCTCGGGGGTAACTGGATGGTTAAGCGACAGTAAAAGTACGAGCGGCACTAAAAGGACTTCTACTGCCGATGCGGTTGCCTAGCAGCATAGAAATTAAATCTCTACCACCTCGACAGGTGCTAACCTGCTGGATTTGCCTAGCAGCATAGAAATTAGGCTTCTGACACCTTGACAGGCGTTAACAAAGTGACGTTTTTTTGACGTTTGGAGAAAAAAACACTTATTCAAAATAAACTTGCTTGGCCGCCACGCCATATTGAATTTTTGTTTTGACAGATGGATTGGATTGCTTTACACTGTAAGCGTAAGCATAACCTCTATAAAAAGAAATCCCTGTAGCGCTGTATTTTTATTTGGTTGGATTTTGGATTTTACTTAAATGTATTAACAAGTTTAGCATATTGTAATTTTCCTATTTTCTAAATCATGTCCAAAGCTGCTGCAAGATTGAAATCGGTCAAAAAGGCCGTTACCGACAAAGTAATTCATGGAAAAATGCGTACCAATATCCCTGCTGGTCTGGCGGCTGCAGGGCCCCCACTTGGCCCCATGTTGGGACAGGTAAGATAATTATGCGCAAATTAAAGCAATTTGTATATGTTGATTATAGAGGGGAGTAAATATAGCAGCTTTTTGCAAAGACTTCAATGAAAAAACCAAAGAAATCAAAGAAGGAATCCCTTTACCAGTACGAATGACTGTAAATGCTGACAGGACTTTTGCTTTAACAATTCATCAGCCTCCAGCAGTTTTTTTCCTCAAACAAGCCGCAGGAATTGAAAGGGCGGCAATGGAATCAGGAAAAGGTACTATAAACTCAAAAAGATAAATCCTAGAATCCTACAATTCATCTTTTAGAAATTGCTGGAAAAGTTACCCTGAAACACATTTACGAAATTGCAAAGATAAAAGGGGTGGATCCGCCTTTACAAACATTATCTATGGAAGATGTATGTAAAATGTTAGTGGGAGTTGCGAGGTAATAATATTAATTATATATTTTTTCTGTAAAGTAGCGTTTTGTGCTTTAAGATCCTGTGGAATTGAAGTAGTTCGAGATTTAGATTCTAAAGAATATGCTGAATTTCTCAAAGAAAGAGCTGTAATAGTTGAACAACAAAAGAAAGAATTGCAAGAAAAGAAAGAAGCTAAAATGTTAAGAACAGGTTAATTTGTTTTTCTTCTGGTTCGTAGTTATTTAAATATATAAGTTATAGATCTATTTATTAGTAGTATTAAAATTATAATTATTAAGTAACCATTTAGATTCCATTTGCCGGTTCCATTGCACAAAAGAGTTTTACAAAAACACAAAGTCCTATTTTGTGTCTTTACACAGCCACTTTTCAAACTAATTTTTTTATCCTTTGTGCAACCTCTTTGAGTATATCTCTTGCTATTGTTAGGTTGAATAATGTCCAAATAACAAAACGAATTCCTATTCAACGGACACAGAAACACTTTTTCAATTTGATCTTCGAATTTGGAAAATCTAAAAGTGCTCACATCACATGTTGGGGTTAAGTCTGTGTAAGATGATTTGCATTGGTAGCAGACAAGGCTTTTTGCTTGCTCAACATCAGGATTGAAAAGTTTTTCTGCTTCTTCTCGATAACCTTGGTGAGTTATTTTTGTCAGGCATAATAATAAGACTAATTGAAACCGAATGTTGGAAATTTTGTGTTAATATAGACTTAGACATGCCAGGAAATTAGTTTTGTCATTAACCAATATAAGGCTAATTTTTGATTGATGTCAGTATAATGGCTTTTAACAGGTGGTTAACATAAGGGGATTGCTCCCACAAAAATTTTATTTGGGGGTGCTGCTGAGGATATTGTAAAGTGCAGTATAGCCCGGTCACCTAAAATAGTATTTTTTTTAATAAGAATTGTTTGTTTAATTTTCAAATAGTGCATTATGAAGTGAATGTTTCAGCGGAAATCTTCAATTGAAAAATTACAAATTAAAATTGTACTGAAAATACTTTTTATTTGCAACTGAGCTATAATGTACTTTTTCCCCTAAATAAATATGCAGTATAACCCAGTCACCTAAAGAGTTTTTTATTTAATTAAGAAAATGCAGATTAACTCAAACTAATCCTTACTAACCCTTCCGTCGTCCGTATAGTGCAAGCTAAAGTTCATTCCACGAAACGAGATAGTAGAGGTAAACAAATAGGCGGAGCTTAAAAATTCAGAGAAGGACTGCAAAAATATGAATTACAACTAATAACATTTATTATTGTCAGGTTGTCATATGAGTCAATAAGTTTAATGTCGTATTTCCTAGTATTTTACAATCATTTAAATAGTGTTTGGTGAATTTTTGTTAATAAGTGAGCAATTTAGATTAAAACAATATCAAGTTCAACAGATTCTGCTGAAGAATTCGTTCAAATCGTTCAGAAATATATTCAAAGAACAGAAATACCTACAAAACAACCTAAGACGGTCCTGCCTGGGGCGGAGTATAATCCTTTTCTAGCCAATTAAATTCGACTTACCTGTCAAAGTTTGTTTACTTTCACTATCTCGTTTCGTGAAATGAACTTTGGTCTGCATAAGTAAAATACTGTTTATTTGTAACCGTCCTATTGGACTATCCAAGATGCTGTCAAACTTAAATAAAAATGTCCGCCAAGAGGCACACAAACCCACATTGTTTTCTTGTCAAAGTCGTGTGTTTTGGATAGGCGACTAATGGCCGTTTCCGTTTCCACCAACAATTTTAGGGAAGCCCTAACGGTAAGTATTCCTTAAACTGACATTTCTCCATGTAAAAATATCATTTTAGGGAATACTTATCGTTAAGGCTTCCCTAATATAAGCCGCTTTCCAGCTGACGCTTTTGAGCACGCAATCGAGCTTTTGCGCGCGCAAATCAATGGCGCAAATGCTTCAAGCGCGCGTTCGTCTTCCAGCCATACTGCGCTTCGAGAGCTGCTAACTTTTGCGTTTCAAACACAGAACACTGTGCTGCACCGTGCTTGAAGCACACAGCTGGAAAGTGGCCATAGTTGGTGGAAACGGCCATAAAACCAAGGTGCTGTCAAACCTAAATTAAAATGTCCGCCATGATGCACACAAACTCTTTGTTTGCTTGTCAAAGTCACGTGTTTTGGATAGGCTAAGGGCGAGTTCTCATGAGCGTAAGTTGACATACCTGGCATAATCACGTGATAAAATGTTTGAGTTTTATTGGTAAAAGATTCGCCATGCTGGATATTTGTCTTGGATGTCAACTTACGTTCATGAGAACTCGCCCTACGGCCGGCTTCTCATGAGCGTAAACTTGACATAACTGGCTCAAATGCTGAATGCGTGAATTTTGGCGCAACATTCACATGGAACGGAGAATTTACGCCGCCGCGTATGTCAAAATTATATTTTTTTCCTAAATTTTGAAATATTTCTTTGAATTTTGATTGTACAAATTCGTATTTGTTTTTGCTTTAGTTCCAAATAGTTAAAAATATGGACAGCAAATCACAAAAATCAAGAAAACGAAACGGTTACAACCTTAACCTCTAAAAACTAGAGATTTAAAAACGCTGAATTTTTACGCGAAAAGTTGAACTTTGCTCAACTTTTGGCGTATCTGCGGAGTGTCAGCGTATCCAATATGGCGGGATTTTGGCCAATCAGAATTCTGCATTCAGGTACGCTGTCACGCCATTAATGTCAAATTACGCTCATGAGAAGCCGCCCTAATACTGCACTTCACACCCGAAATAAATATGCAGTATAGCCCGGTCGCATCTAAACATTCCGGTATGGGATTCGGCACCTATGCATATTTCATTGGTCCGTTTGAATTCGGACAGCCAATTGATGCGGAGTGCCGAAATCGGTACTTGAATGTTGAAAGGTGCTGAGCCTCAGGTCAGAATGGTCCATTAGCAACAGCCATGTGGAGTGCCGAATCTAAGGTCAAAATGTTAAACAGTGCTGAGTATCAGGTCCGAATGTTGCCATGCGTTTGGTGCGGTTTTTATATTAAATCAGCTGTCCACGTCCACCTCCTTCGTGTTCCTCTTAGCTACAATTTTGCGGCGGATGCGGTTTATTTCGCCGTTGCTTCATGTGTTCTTGTGCTTAAACATGCAAGATGAGTTTGCCTAGATCATTTAAACACTTTCAATGTGGTGAGCAAATTTACCGAGCCAACATTTTGGAGGAAAACGATATAAAGTAATGGATAGAAGAGTATAGTGATATAACATACACGAATTAGAATGTGAAGTCAGCGAAAAATAATTATAACAGATTCAAATGCAGGTTTGTGTTCAATGTCAATTCAATGACGTAGAATCTTCTTGGATGCGAATAGACTTTGGAAAATACATTTTTTAGATATGTTTTTGTATGCCATCATAGTGCTTATAAAAAAGTGGATCAAGGAAATAATAAGAAAGGAAAATCCAAAAACTGCTGTTGCCTGGTTTCAATTGATATTTTAATTAAACTAAGCACCACAGATACAAAAAAAAAAAAGATAGATATATTAGGGTATTTATTTTCAAAATTTTCTATTCTAATTTGCCAGGTTTCAGGTTTTTATAATCCCCCCCTGGATCCGCCACTGCAAATTATTGTCCTAGATTTTTTGAAATGTGTCGTTGATATAAAATAGATGTGTAACAAAAAGTAAATAAAGTTTGTTTGTTGATTTTGTGCCGCGCTAACGGAGTAACATTCCAACCTGCAGCTGGGCACTGTTTAACATTTTGACCTTTGATTCGGCACTCCACAGCCTCCTATACTTAACAAGCCATGAAGTTGGAAATGACGGCAACGTCGCGTATGGTGCTATTTTGTTATTGGGTTATGTGTTTCTGTGTATTGCTTTCATTGTGTATTGTTGCAATTTAGTATTTTTATGGGCATTATTGACGAAAAAGTGGATAGAAACACACCAATATATTGCCCATATTTAGTTGATACCTGTTCCTTTGTGCTTTGATTGCAAATTTTTAGCAAATGGGTACAGGAGCAAAAATGAAGGTAAGGTAAGGTAAAACAATAAAAACAATATTAATACTTGTCTGCAAGAGCATAGGTCTCGATATATTACCTAAGACATTTAAACTTGTTCTAGATGCCATGAAACTACTGTGTTCCTGGGTGCAAATCGAACTATTAGGAGTTCCTTAAAAACTGAAGAAATGCAAACATTTTTATTTCCAAAAAAATTCTGAATTGCAAAAAATGTGGATGAAAGCAATACACCAAGATAATTATACCCAAGATTATACAATAACGAAAAATTCTGTGGTGTGTTGTAAACATTTTGAAGAAACCGAAATAATTAGATTTGAAACAAACATGGATAAAGGCGTAAGCCGAGAGTTCAAACTAAAACGTCCAACTCTTAAAAGTAGGTACCTCTTATTTTCGAAAATCAGCTCAAGTATTTGAATGGACTTGCCTTCCGAAAAAATCCCGAAGAAAGAAAAAGTTAGATTTTCAAAAGACATACTGAAACATAGGCCTATAACACTTTAGACTCTAGAAATATATTCATTTAAATCAATTATTTACTGTTCTTATTTACACAAATAGTTAAATTATTCATTGAATTACTGTTTTTGGCCCTTTAGTACAAAAAATTATGTATTTTTTGTGATTCATATTAATAAAATAAAAAAAATATATTTATACAAACACCACCAGCACCACTTGGCGATAAGATTGCGGTGTTGCCTTCTTAACTTCATGGCTTGTTAAATGTAGGAGGCTGTGGCACTCCACATAGTATATGTATATACCATTCCGACCTGAGGCTCAGCACCGTTCAACATTCAAGTACGGATTTTGGCACTCCGCATTAATTGGCGGTCCGAATTCAAACGGACCAATGAAATATGCCTAGGTGCCGAATCCTATACCGGAATGTTTAGATGCAGCCCGGTCACCTAAAATATTTATTTTTTAAATCAAAATTGTTTAACGTCCAAATAGTGAATTAAAAATGAAATTTTCCAGAGGAAATTTTTAATGGAAAAATTACACTGAGAATTTCATACATCTGTCAAAACTGGTATTCCAACCACAGCATATACAAAAACAATCCGCAGGCTAACTTGAGTGATAGCCCGTGTAATAAAGGAATTCATGGTCGGGATGTCACTAGCGTCCATTTTGGGGTACGAGACAGGGCCTGATTAACAATAATTTAGGTTTTTTCTCTCGTGTCACAGAGTCGTATTCGCTTTAAATAAACTAATTTATTATTACTTACATATAATAATATTTATAATTAGTAATATATTATTATTATTATTATTAAATATACAACAATGATAACTGCTAACAGATAACACCATAAATGACAACACGAATATACTAAAATCACTTTGAAAATCATAACTAAAATTCCGCTCTACACCGCACGCCTATGACTTCTGTCAGAAATAAAGAAATAAAATAAAATTACGGCGTCCCTGCCGTTTAATGACAGGATGGAATCCCCTAATGGCGGCGTGCGCAGAAAAGATGCGCGTGAGAGTTAGCCTGCTGATTGTTTTTGTATATGCTGTGATTCCAACAATAAATTGACATGTTTTGATTGTTGATTTGAACCAATCAGATTAGGCGATAATTTGCACTAAAGTTCATTCCACCAAACGAGATAGGAGAGGTAAACAAACAGGCGGAGCTTAAAAATTCAGAGAAGGACTGCAAAAATATGAATTTCAACTAATGACATTTATTATTGTCAGGTTGTCATATGAGCCAATAAGTTTAATGTCGTATTTCCTAGTATTTTACAATTCTTTAAATAGTATTTGGTGAATTATTGTTAATTATTGAGCAATTTAGATTAAAACAATATCAAGTTCAACAAATTCCGCTGAAGAATTCGTTCGGAAATATATTCAGCGAAGAGAAATACAAAACAACCTAGGACGGTCCTGCCTTGGGCAAAGCATAATCCTTTTCTAGCCAATAAAATTCGACTTACCTGTCAAAGTTTGTTTACTGTCACTATCTCGTTTGGTGAAATGAACTTTAGTGCAAATTATCAGATAATTGCATACCAACTGGTGCAAAAACTGGTGTTTTGACATTTTTTGACAAAAAATTTAAATTTTTGATTTATGAAATTCTCTCATTAAATACAACTCGTGCAATGAAAATATATTTATAATTTTCGACAAATTTGCACTCATGCGTTTTTAACTGAAAAAGGCACTACGTGCACTCGTGCTCTTTTTCAACTAAAAATGCATTCGGGCAAATTTCCCAAAAATTATCAATAATTTCCATTGCACTAGTTATATTACTATTGAGAATTTCATACATCTGTCAAAACTGACATTCCAACAATAAACTGACATGTTTTGATTGTTGATTTGAACCAATCAAATTGGAATTACGCGATAATTTGCACTAGTGCAAATTATCAGATAATTGCATAGTAACTGGTGCGAAAACTGGTATTTTGACATTTTTTGACAAAAAATTTAAATTTTTGATTTTTAAGAAATTCTCTCATTAAATATAACTCGTGCAATGGAGATATATTTTTAATTTTCTGGTTAATTTTTAAGCACGAATGGTATTGTCGCGGCTTTGGGTTGCCTGCTGACAAAAATCTTGGGTTCGTTGGTCGTTTCGTTTATTCCAAAAATCAAAGTCCA